CGGTCTAGACAAACTAGTTCCTTAAGAAACTTAAATTCGAGGTGTTGACCCCCCAAAATCACCAAATGACGTCAGTTTAACACGAAACTTGGCACGTACGACCGTCTAGGCACGAGAAACTTGTAGGAGAAGACGGGACTCCAATCGAGTTTCCGGTTTGAGAGTTAAAGTCGGATTTCTGTCTAACCAAAATTATTTACTAAACTATCTTTGTAATTATATAGTAGTTAATTTTTTATGTTTTTCTGTAATTAAAATATTAACACAATTATATTGTCATTAATTATTTTTATTTTGTTATTTTCAGATATTTCCTGAGTAGCAGTCTGCTTCTTGTGGAATGCAGGCGTGCAAAGATTATGACCAACTTTTGTTTTTGTAACCCACGGAAGAATCATGACGAAAATTTATGTTTTTGATTTACGGTATTTAGATTTGTTAACAACATTATGTATGTATTATGCAACATTATGTAGTGGGATAATTTTTATTGTTATAAATTTTTATTTATGTATTGTTATGAATGGAACAACATTATGAATTTTCATTATGTGCCAACTTTTGTTTATGTATGTATTTATATTATTATGTAATTATCGGTTTTTTTTAAAGTTATTTTTCATTTAATACAGGTTATTTTCATATTTTTAATAATTTTATTACAGTTTTTTTTTTTTTTGAGACGGCACCACACACACCGTCTCAAAAAGAAAATAGAACCAGGGTTTTTTGCGACGGCAATAATGTTGTCGCAAAAGATAAGGGAATTAGTTGAAAAGGAAGACCTTTAGCGACGGTGTTATTGCCGTCGCCAATGGTACTTTAGCGACGGCATCAGGTGCTGTCTCAAATAACCCTTTAGTGACGGTATTTTTGCCGTCGCAAATAACCTTTTTAGCGACGGTAATACAGTGCCGTCTCAAAAAAACTCAGATTTTCACGGATTAATGTCGACAGAATTTTTCCGTCGCAAAATGGCATTTTTGCCGTCACAAAAAAAAGACGACGACGTTATGCCGTCACTAAAACCCTTTTGTTGCGATCCCCCACTTGCTGTCGCAAAAAGTCAGTTACCGTCGCAAAAAACTTTTTAAGTCGACATTTTAGGTATTTGCGACGACATTTTGCCGTCGTAAAAAAGTAATTTTTTTATAGTATAAAACATGAAAAATATGACTCATTGAACCAATGCACGAATGCCGTCGAACGTTTGATCCCTAAAAATGAAGTGCATGTCAATGAAGATTTGGGGTGCTTGTGCTTCTCGGTGAGGCCTACTCTAGGCTTATTAAAATGATTAAAATTATTTATTTTATAACATTTATTAAATAGTAGGTTATTTATTAAAAAAAATAAATTTATTAGAAATGATAATTACATGATCAAATTATATTGACCTTAAAAAAATGTCACAATCATCATATGACTACTGATATTTAATTAACGACATTTTTTCTCATTCATTTATTTAACTTTTTTACAAAATAAATTATTAAGATCATCTTAATAAATCTAGACTATTTTTTTTAACAGATAATAAGTCCAGACTGAGCCCACCAATCGGCACAAAATGGCTATTCTGCCCACCCCAATTCTGTTTATGAAACCCCAAACCTCCCATCATTAAAGTGCTACAAAACAAAAATGCTAAACCCTAAAAGTTTTATTAAATATCTTATATAGGTGTAAAGCTCATACTTATATGATTTATTTGATAAAAAATTTAGTAAAACTTTTGAGATTTTTAACATTACTCACTATTAGGAGTGTTTAGTAGATGTTTTAATTTGTCCAAACCAACCGAACCGAACTGATCCGTCGCATTTTGAACGGATACATAATGGTTACAGATTGATTTTTTTCAATCTATCTTGTTTTGAACAGATGGCCGATTTGAGATTCTTTAGCCGCAACCGAACCGCTAAACCGCAAGCACCCCTAGTAATTTGTAAGATTTTATATTTTCAATTTATTTAGATATTTTGTTTATGTTTTCAATTGAAAAAGAGTTTAGATATTTTGTTATATTTTTAATTTGTTTTCAATTTGAAAATCCTTTTAATCAAATGACAAGTGTTCATATTTGGTATTTTTGTGTGAAAAATATAAGGTTTAATTTTGTCATTTTAAAAAAAAAATTAAATTAAATAATTTTTGAATAAAAAAAATAATGAAATAATTTTGATAATGTATAATTTTTTTATATATATTTATTACCTTTTGATTATGTTAAGTTTGATTGTTATTTAAAAAAAAATTTATTAACAATTTATTATATTATCTTTAAAATTTGTTGAAGTTTAAATCGTATAATCAATTTACATCAATTTATCAATTTGCCCAATTCACTCCATTTATATACGCCAACTCAAAATACGAATTGATGTTTTTTCAATTTGCCAATCCAAATCGCGAGCACGCCTGCGCCACAAAATGTGGAAAAGTTTGACAGTTACTGCCATCTAATATGATGATAACTAACCATGAGAGTCAACAACCTATCAATTTTTCAATAAATAAATATACTCTTACAATATCAATTTAGCAATTGAGACCACATAGATTCGATATGTAAAAGATTCTCTTGGGGACTAATTTATATATATTTATAGAAACACACAATTTGTGATGTTGATTATATATCTATTGTAATTGAAGGGAGAGTTGTTGATAAATTTTATATGTTGAAATTATATTTTTGTGGATGTTCTAAATAAGTGTATTTTTTGATTTTTTATAAAAAGATATGTAAAAAAGTAGAGAAGAGATGTTGATTGATGTGACTAAAAAAAGATAAAAAGTGTGGACTTATTTAGTCTTTCCAAACAAGGCCTTAGTCTTAAAAAAAACAGTCATGCTACGTAGCTCGAAAGCTACGTAGCTCGAATCCCCCTAATCGAAAACGTTGCCGTTTTTCTTTTTTTTTTTCTTTTTTTTTCAGAAGCAGAAATCAGGAGGAAGAAGGAGAGGAGAGGAGAGGAGGAGGAGGAAGGAGGAGGAGGACTGTAGGGGGCCTAATAACAGGGGAGGAGGAGGCAGGACTGGAAGCGGAGACGGCGGCCGGAACTGGAGTTGGAGCTGCTGCTGCGACGAGCTGGCGGCGAGGCGATGACGGCAGGCCGGAGCTGCGACGACGGCGGAGAGCTGCGACGACCACCAGCTGCTCCTCTTCCCCTCTTCTTCTCTCTCTCTCTCCCTCTCCCTCTTCCTCTCCCTTTTCCCCTCTTCTTCTCAGATCGGTTTCAGATCGAAAATGGAAGAAAAAAAAAAAAAAACTAATGCCCAAAACGACGTCGTTTTGGGCATTAGGGGGATTCGGGGGACAAAATCCTCGAGCTACCAAACATTATTCTAAAAAAAATTTGTGTTCTCTTTAATCTTTTGTAGTGTAATGATTCATTTGTCATTATAATCTCTTTAATTGTTATTGTTCGTTGGAGTATTACGTTTAGAAAAAGTATACTAAAATTTTTTTTAGTGTGTTACTTTGCAATATTACATTTGAAAAAACTACATTAAATTTTTTTTTATATTGTTACATTGGAGTATTACACTAAAGAATTTTTAGTGTATTAAGTATTACGTCTGGAAAAAGTACACAAAATTTTTAAGTGTGAGCATCTCCAATGCACTAGGCATATAATACTTGTTAGTTAAAATGCCTAGTGTGATTCACTTTTTTCAATTCCAATGCACTAGGCATATGATTAGGCATTTTGGCTCAATTCATATTCACTAGCTACATGTAGCTAGCCTTTCAGTTTCAGATCGAAAATGGAAGAAAAAAAAAAAAGAAAAGAAAAAAAACCTAATGCCCAAAACGACGTCGTTTTGGGCATTAGAGGGATTCGGGGGGCAAAATCCTCGAGCTACCAAACATTATTCTAAAAAAAATTTGTGATCTCTTTAATCTTTTGTAGTGTAATGATTCATTTGTCATTATAATCTCTTTAATTGTTATTGTTCGTTGGAGTATTACGTTTAGAAAAAGTATACTAAATTTTTTTTTAGTGTGTTACTTTGCAATATTACATTTGAAAAAACTACATTAAATTTTTTTTTTATATTGTTACATTGGAGTATTACACTAAAGAGTTTTTAGTGTATTAAGTATTACGTCTGGAAAAAGTACACAAAATTTTTAAGTGTTACGTTGGAATGATGAAAACATGATCTAAAAATTGGATCCAACTTCCTTAAGATGGTGTTCTCCAATGAAGAAGGGTAGAAACGTCCGCCAAATCATGGCAAAATTTAAAATATGATTTTACAATAAGATTGTTAAAACAAACATGACCTATCAGCTAATTCATATAACTAATTGGAGTAACCTAATTGGAGTAACCGAGTCTCATATGAGAACTATATGATAATTTTCCTAAAAGGGTCACAATTTTGAAATCATCCCCACCAAATGGTTTCTATCCCTTGTGGGTTCTTCTTTCTTTCATTTTTTAATTACATAACAATTGTTCTTGTGAAACAAATTAGACCCCCCAAAAAAAAAACTTATCCTTGCTACTTTGGAACCAATTTTTGCAAAAAAAATTTATGTTGATATATGTCTCTTTTTTGTTAGGTTTTAATCTTGACTATTGGTGAACAAAATAAAATAAAATAAAATAAAACCTAAAAACTCTAGAAATTTTTTTTTTTTTTTTTTAAGCATGTTGCTTGTAAAAAAAAAATGATAATAAAACAAGACAACTTTTAAACTGAACCAAACAAGCGTTTGCATGATCTTCTATATTTTTTTAAATTACAGTATCATCAATTTATTTAGGTAAAATTTTTAACAGTTAAAAGTGACACAAAAGGAAGGGATCTTTTAAATAAGCACACATTTTTATTTCCACAGCCATAAAAACAATATTATTTTTTGTTACGAAGTTATCTTCTTTTTTTTTCAATAACTGTTATGATGTTGTCTTTAAGCACAATTACCATTGAGAATAAAATTACAAAAATCCTTTAAAAAAATCTCTATAGCCACCCTTGCCCTCTCTCTCTCATCATAGCTGCTTACCACCATCTTCTCTCATTTGGAAATGCTAACCTTACCATTTTAAAACCCCAACCCTAATGATAAGGTGTGTAGCAATGATGGTAGTGGAGTGGTGGAAGAGGAGTAAATAGGTATAGAGAATACTGATGAGGTTAAAGATGAGACAGGTTTGAAATGAAGTCAGTGTATAGAGAATACTTATGATTTGTGTCCGTAGGCTAAGGCCGCCTTGTTAAGATTTGTAAAAGAGATTCTATATTTGAATTTTCATGTTTGTTACATGATCTGCTAATGATCTAAAAAGCAAATGGATTCAGATAAATTGAGTAAATATAAGGAACAAATGGACAGTAGACAAAAACTGTTCCAATAAGACATGATCTATTGAGTGATTATGCAATCAGTCTCCTCAATAAAGAGTAAACAACTCTGTAAGATGTTCATCAAGCTAATATCAATTGATATATCTTATGGTTTGTATAAATTTTTAAATCCTGAAATTAGACAAAAATAATAATTACGCTGGTGGTATGGCCATTGTAACTGCAGTTTTCTGTTGTGTTGGAGCTCTTGCAATAACCAGTTCTCTACATCATATTGACAAGGACCTCCTTGGGTGGTGGTTATGTGAGCGACAGGTTAAATCTGGAGGTCTAAATGGGCGTCCTGAGAGGTTTCCAGATGTAGGTTATTCTTCTTTGAACTGAAGATTTTTCTTTGAATATTTTTGTAAGTTTTATTACTAAAGCTTCTACTATGTGACTGTAGGTATGCTATTCATGGTGGGTCCTTTACCTCTTGGAATCATTGGGGGAGCACTAGCTGGTCACAGAGTTGCAACTTTGGTAACTTGTATACTTCAAGAAAAATTTAAACTTGTCTTTGCATCAACAACACTGCAAGTTCCTTTCATAACTGAAGCAAAAAATCCACATCCACTTGCACAGATGACAAACAATGATTCCGTGGAATTTTTGTTTGCCATGGACATCTTCTGGATCCTGATTGTGGACTTTGACTCCGAAGGGCGTTCTCTCTTCCTCAATGCAATCGCAAATCAGATACGCAACCCAAACAACTATACACATTTCTTTTCCTATGTTCTCCTCTACTTGTTTGTGAATGCTAACAAGGTTAGTTTCTCTCTCTCTCTCTCTCTCCCTCTCTTTGTTGAACATAAATTACAATTTAGATTCATATGATTTGTTTGCCTGCAAGTATAACCAGAAAATTTGAATTCCCCTGAAATGTTGTGGTTGAAACTGAGAGAATGAATAGTAATAACTTCTTGATCTTTGAGAATTACACTAGTTAAGTCTAGGATTTTTACACTAGTTATGCGAAATGTGATTTGCTCACAGCTTCGCATTCCTTGTTGGATAGGAAATTATACAGGAGCAAATAACAAGAGTTTTGTTGGAAGGACTGATTGTGAATAGACCACATCCTTGGAGGCTTTTGATCACCTTCATTGAGCTCATCAAGGTAACTTCAAACCACCACCAAAGTGTTGTTTGGCTAGTCATATGTTCTCTTAAAATCTGTTTTTTTTTTTTGGTCATACAGAATCCAAAATACAACTTCTGGTGTAGGTCTTTCACTAGGTGTGCACCGTAGATTGAGAAACTTTTTGAATCAGTTTCGAGATCGTGTGGTGGGCCTAAATCTGTGGATGAATCAATGGTATCTGGTGGAATTTCTGATAGTGTGCACTGATTCTGGAAGATTGGATCTCTGCATTTGATGTCGGTGTAATGTAAGTTTTAGTGATTTTCTCATCGTAACAAACTACAGCTTTGTTAGATGACTGCCAGAGTAACACCAATTCGCACTGTTTGAATAGAATATTTGATTGTGGTTATTATGCAAAGCTGGCTGACTATTCCAAATCTTTTTACCTAATAAAAATAATCAAATACTTTCTAAAACCAGATTATACGCTATCTATCCTTCTCAAATCTTTTTACCTATAAAAATAATCAAATATTTTCTGAAATGATGCATACAACGGAAGTCCACTTTCATCGAATTGCTTACAGACTAGCAATACAATTCTTTTGATGCCTCAAGTAATTAAACTAGAATTGAGAACCCCAATGTCAATTTTTTTGACTCAATTTCAGCCTCATTTCCTTTAGCCAATTGGTGTGTTAATAATTTCAAGTGTTCCCTGGAGGTTTGCCAAAATGAGAAACTCACATTTATGGGACCATGTATGAGATGCTATGTATGGTGAATTTGTATAAGGGTATGCAGGGCATTGCATTATCTATATGTCAATTTCTAACTTTCTCTTGAAAAAGGCAACCTTGTTTTGTAATTTCCAGTATTTGTGATGCAGCAGCGATACTAAATGTTTATTATGTAGGTAGCTGTAGGGCTTCAAGATCTTTTGGATGGAACAGTGACCAAATATCTTTGTTTTCTTTTCTAATTCTGTGTTTTCTGTCTCAGGTTTGTAACTGGGTGCTCTCGAGGACCTTTGCTTGGATTTAAATACCTTGAGCCTTTGTTCTGCATACGGAGGTGATGGTCCTTTTTTGAGTATTCTCTTAGGGCTGCTGGTAATGCTTCTGAAGAGGCTCTTGAAGTTGCTAAGAATTTTTTAGTACAAAGATATGGAGGACACAAACCTGAGTGTTGATGCAATTAAATCAGCCCATGATGGTGCACTCACAAGAAGATATTTGGCTAAATTTTGTATGGTTTAGAACTTAATGATAGTTTTTGTTTTGGTGGATAATTTAGAACATTTTGAAATGTATAGAAAATTGTTGAATGTTTATAATTTATGCATATAGTTTCTTTTTGATGTTTCAAACAATATTTTGGCGGTTGATTGATGTTTTGTGATGCTTGTTTGTAATATTTGTTAGATTGTACAAAATTAGTCAAATAGAACCTGCTGAATTTTAAAATTTAAAAAAAAAAAAAAAAAACTACATATTTTATGCTATGTATGGTGAATTTGTATAAGGGTATGCAGGGCATTGCATTATCTATATGTCAATTTCTAACTTTCTCTTGAAAAAGGCAACCTTGTTTTGTAATTTCCAGTATTTGTGATGCAGCAGCGATACTAAATGTTTACTATGTAGGTAGCTGTAGGGCTTCAAGATCTTTTGGATGGAACAGTGACCAAATATCTTTGTTTTCTTTTCTAATTCTGTGTTTTCTGTCTCGGGCTTGTAACTGGGTGCTCTCCAGGACCTTTGCTTGGATTTAAATACCTTGAGCCTTTGTTCTGCATACAGAGGTGATGGTCCTTTTTTGAGTATTCTCTTAGGGCTGCTGGTAATGCTTCTGAAAAGGCTCTTGAAGTTGCTAAGAATTTTTTAGTACAAAGATATGGAGGACACAAACCTAAGTGTTGATGCAATTAAATCAGCCCATGATGGTGCACTCACAAGAAGTTATTTGGCTAAATTTTGTATGGTTTAGAACTTAATGATAGTTTTTTTTGTATAATTTAGAACATTTTGGATTGTATAGACATTTGTTGAATGTTCATAATTTATGGATATAGTTTCTTTTTGATGTTTCAAATAATATTTTGGTGATTGATTGATATTTTGTGATGCTTGTTTATAATATTTGTTAGATTGTAAAAAATTAGTCAAAAAAAACCTGCTAAATTTTAAAATTTAAAAAAAAAAAAAAAAACTACATATTTTACGGTAGGCATAATAAATCGTTGTATTACATATTTTACGGCGTACAATTAGTGTTGTTATTTGTCTCACCAATTAACGGCGTGCAAAATTAGTCATAGAAAAAGTAACAACGACGCACAAAATCTACCGTTAAATAGTTTTTAACGGCGTACTATAGCATGTCGTAGAAAAAGTAACAACGACATACAAAATCTGCCGTTAAATGTTTTTAACGGCGTACGAAGCATGTCGTTAAAAGTGAATGACTTTCCATGACTGGTCATAATATGACGCGCGTTGCACGTCGTAGAAGGGTTTTCACGACGTGCATTGCGCGCCATAAAAACCCTTTTTTGTTGTAGTGATACTTTTATATTAATATGGGTGTATGTACTATATAAATAATATATGTCACATATACAATCGTGTGGTGCTATAGAAGAGTAGTGGGAAGAGTGTGGTACAAAGGTTTTTGGTGCGGGAGATTGACAGTTTGAGTCTCTGCAAGCGGATCAAATTGTTCTACAATGAAATTTTTTTTTTTTTCACATTTGAAGTTTTTGGCGACAAAAGGTGTTGGTCGGCGATTCCTTGACTATTGGTAGCAAAAACATTGGTCGATAAATGTATAATTTTAAAGAAATATAATTGACTATTGGCAACCAAAATTTTGGTCGCTAAAGACTTGCTTTTTGGTGACGAAAGGTTTTTTGGTCTGCAAAACCCTCAAAGACCTTTCCTGACAGGGTTTTGGCGACAAACGTAGCGACCAAAAGTTTTGGTCGCAAAATGTCATTGGCGACCAAAAAACAGACAATTGGTGAATTAAAATAAATGAATACTCGTTCCCAAAATATTGTCTTTGTCTGACTATTACCAATAATGAGATCTTGAGAGACTGCCAACCAAGATCTATATAAAGTTTAATCTTCTATAATTGTGAATGCTTTACCACGAGGAACACAAGAAGTTTCCGAAATAAAATGAATATCAATGTGCTGCTTTGAAATTTGTGATTCCTCAAATATTTCAAAATAGTCCATAATTTGAAGAAAATTCAGTAGGATACAACATCCAACTCAGATAGTGAAATATATTGTAATGATATACACTAAAACTGAGAAATAGATAATATACGCTGAAGCTCACAAATAAAATATAAATTGTAACGATATTGTCAAACTGAAGCTTACAAAGAAAATAGAAATTATAATGATATAATGAAATAAAAAGATTAGCATATTTTATAGATCATATCAACGGTAATTTTGTCGAATACTCTGCAACACCAACGGTAACTTATTGGAGTTGCAGTTGCTGAACAGCTAATTTAATTTTAAATTTAAATCTATATATCATGCAACTTTTTCATGTTGCATTTTGATAGAAATTTAAATCTATATCAATGTTGAATTTATTCTTAGTGACACAGAAGCAACCAACTTTTGAACTAGTTCTAGTTCGCAGGCCAAACACTGCATTTTCTGTACATGCCGGACGACTGGTGGGACAACCGGCAGGATATTCGGTGGAACCCACTTCCAACGTAAACGCATAGTGAAATGGTGAAATCAGACGCAACTACTCAGTTTAGTGAAAGTTTTGCTTCGTTCTCAATTTGATATCATTTTGATAAAACTGTTCGAGAGATAAAAATTGTCATTTTTCATCAAATTTAAATTTGGTAATCAATTTGATGAACCATTGGAGATGGCCTAAGTGGGTCATCTCTTGTTTGTAAATTATAATAAATATGAGTCACCATGTGTCATTTGTATTTTTTTTTTTTCCCAAGATAGAATATTAGATATTAGTATGACCTTGTTTGGGAACTATTTTAATAATTTTTTTAGTTTTTTTGTTAAAATATGAGATAAAAAAACTTATATGTTTGGAGTGACTTTTTAATTTTTTACGAAAAGATGTGCAAAAGTAAGGAGAAAAATGAATTTTTGATTTTTTTGTATAAGTTATAAGTTTTTTGATTTTTTTAGTAACTTTTTAACTTTCAAACTAAAATTATTAATTCCCAAACAGGACCTAAGAAGGTTATGTTACCATATTAGTATTTGTCTCTCTCTTTGCTTCAACTTTAGATCTCATTGTACCCGAAGGTAGGCTACTTGACAAAGAAAATACAAATCACTTTGTTTAGTTTCAGTTTTTAGTTTTTTGAATTTACTTTTCAGAAAATTCTACTTTTTCATTTTTCATATTTTTTTTTTTGTTTTCATTGAATTTTTAAATATATTTTAAGAATTTTTAAAAAAAAATTTAGACACATTTAACATAAATACACTTAAAAAGTATAATATTTGTGAAAAAAATCTTTAAAAAATTCACTAAATACCAAACATATCAATATATATATATATTTAATTCAGTGCATTTTTTATATTTTTGTGTATTTATTAATTTTTTAAAATATTTTTTCATAAATATTTTACTATTTAGATACATCTAAATAAGGTGCATATAACAAAGTTAAAAAATTACTTGTAATTTTAAAAATATTTACTAAAAATGAAAATTTCAATTTTCAAAAAATTAAAACGGAACACACTTAATAGAATTCTATGCAATACATTATCACAAGAATTATTATTTTCAGTTTAACTCACCCACTTAAATCATAATTGATTATGTTTTGGACTTAAAACTAGTACAGTATTACAAGATTCTGTCCCAGAAAATGGGAAAATTGAACATAAAATGGGTAGGAGTAAACACAAACAGGCTGTTTTGCCATTCAAGAAACCACACTACATGTGTATCTATGTATATACCTTTGTCCTCCTAATCTGTCATTCTATCTACCCATTATCACATCCACCAATCTTCACCCCACTTTCGTCTCCGACACCGGTCTGGCCGCCCCATTTCCGGCCACCGCCATCTCCTTCTCCGCCTTCTCCGCCTCCTCCCTAAACTTCTTATAAATATCACTCCTATAAAACTTCCTAGTCCTGATTACCAAAAGCACCGAAACAAGAGCTCCTAACACCGTCACCGCGGTGATAATAATGAAAGAAAGCTTAAAACAATCCACCCCAACACAATTCAAGCCCTGCCCGGCCTTCCTGATCGCCCCCTGTCGTTCAGCTTCCTTATCGTACAAATGCCCGGTGACCTTAACATTGAGTATATACAATCCAATTGGACTCGCCACCGATCCAAAATTGTATAATGTGGAGTAGTATTTGAGTCCAAATACTTCGGATATGATTGCGAACAGCAATGGCCATTGAGCTCCGAAACAGAATCCGATTATGATTGATGCAATGTAGAGGCCGCTGGGGACGTTGAAGGCGATGAGGAGGTGACCGAGGCAAGAGAGGAAGAGGATGAGGGTGAGCATGAGGGGGCGAGGGAACTTGTATTTGGTTAGAAAGATTTCTGAGACGAACCCGGCGACTACTCGGCCGAGGTAATTCCATATGCTAACGAGCGATACGAAAGTACTAATGCTCCGTTTTGGGTATCCGAGCGAAGCTCCGATCTGACCGAGGTTGTCGATGGCTGTTAAAGTTCCTCCGACGCCGCAGATGGTGGCGAAGAAGAGGATCAGCATGTCGATGCTGAAGAGCGCTTGGAGGATTGTGTAGTCATCGCCTCTGTTCGGTGGCTGGAATATGGTTCTCCAACAGGAAACTGAATCAGAATCAGCCTGTTTTTGTGATGTTGGCAGTACTAGTACTTCTTCACCACCATTACTGGTCGCCGATGGTGGCAAAATTGTTTCTGTATTTTGATTTTCGGTTACGATTTTCAAATCAATGGATGGTGGTTGGAGTTGGAGTTGGAGTTGGGCTTCTTGTTTGCTCTTCCAAATACTATACTCTTCTTTTATAACTACCGCGAGCGGTAAACACAGCAGAACGACTACGGCGGCAGCACTGCCACGGTTCTCGCTCTGCGTAAAGTTAAACCTTTTCTGGAAAATAATCATAATCATTAAAAACCCGGCTAACCCTAGCGAAATATAAAGAAAGTTATAAAAAACTTTTAACTCATTCGGGTGTTTAACCACTTTCATGATCCGAATCGTTCGTAAAAAGGCAAACGAAATCACCGCTGGAAGCCAACCAATAAGTAAAATCAACGATTTCAAGTTGTCTCCATAGACACCAAGGTAGAGCTGAGTGATAATCGCTCCGCTCAACCCAACGAACCCCTTGAGGAGGCCCAAAACAACGCCGCGGCTCTCGGGAAAGTTCTTGACAAGGGTGACTAGAGCGCCGGTGTTGGCGAAGGATTGGGAATTGGCGCCGATGCAAATGTAGAGACACATTTGCCAGATTTTGGGAGTGGAGATTTTTTTGGTGACAGAGAGCCAAATCATGAAGTAGCCGAAGAAATTGAGAACGGCACCGATGGAGAGGACGACCCAGGGAGGAGTGACCTCGTTGATGAGGCCCGAGAGGATGCCGACGTTGGCGCCGACGTCTTTGAAGAAGCTGAGGAGGTTGAGGGTGGTTTGGTCGTATCCTAAGGAGGATTTGATTTCGGCGGAGTAGAGTCCGAACATGTAGGTGGCTCCGGCGGCGGACATGATGAGGAGGGAGGCGAATACCATGAACCACCGCCCTGTTAGGATTTGGAGGGGTAGGGATTTCATGGTGCTGGCTGAACCACCACCGCCGGCTAACACCATTTTTGTTTCTATTTGTTTTGGTTGAGTTGAGAGTGAATTTTTTTTTTTTTTTTTCTCTCTTTGCTTTTGGTCTTAAAAGAGTGTTGGAGTCCTGTGCTCAATATATAGAACATTTACACCCGTGTTGGACACAGAGGGTTTTGGTCTGAAAGGAAAGAAAGTTATGTTTGAATGGTTAGCTAAGTCAGAAATTGTGAGAGATAATAAAAAAGAATTTTTTTTATTAAGGCCTCGTTTGGGAACAGGTTAATTTAGTAATTTTTTGGTTATTTGGCTAAAAAAGTAGGTAAAAAAAACTTATATATTTGGAATGACTTTTTGGCTAATTACGAAAAGATGTGCAAAAAGTAGAGAGAAAAGAGAATCTTTGACTTTTTAGTATGGATTGTTAGCTTTTTGACTAATTTAGTAACTTTTTGACTAATTAACTAAAATAGCCTCTTGCCAAACGAGGCCTAAATTTATGTTTTTGGTGTTCTTTGGGAAGTGAGTTAGCTTTAGATTTTTTGAATTTTTTATTATTATTTTAGTCTGGGTTAAAAATTTTGATTTGATAAAGATTTTTTGACTTTTTTTATTTTTTTTATAAGAAAAGAGTATAATAATTATGGATTGGATGTGATGTTTTGTTTGTTGTGGCATATTTTGTCTTTTGTAACTAAAATAGCCAAAAAAAACCCATAAACCATCTTTGCAAAGGTACCTTTAAAAAGTGAGTCGACTTTTTAATTTTTTTTTGTCTTTTTTTTTATTATTTTAATCTAGAATTAAAAAATTTGATTTGGAAAGAATTTTTGACTTTTTTAATTTTTTTGTGAGATAAAAAATATAATAATTATAAGTTGAATATGATATTTTATTTTATTAAACTAAAAAATCTATTTTATTTTTTTGTGACTATTTTAACTAAAAAAACACCTCAAAACCAACTTTCCAGGCTAGAAAATTTTATGAAAACACCCAAAATGGCAACAATGGGTGTTCTTTAAGTTTTCATTGTTTTTGTTTCCAAAAACACAAAAAAACAAAAACATCAAAAATGAAAATGAATCCAAACAGACCCAAACTTTTAATCTTAGTCCAGACAATATATTATTTAATGACCTGGATTACCTAGATGACAGTGGAAACTGAAGATGATCATAAAGCAAAATATACCTGACTATAAGGGATAGGAGATGAGATGAGATGCGAAAGAGGTGCCAAAGTTAATGTGCAAGTCAAATTTCAATTAATTTGTTCTTGTGTGTGAATAAAAAGACCAGTAACCAGTTGCTTGCAATAAGATGGGCTTACAAAGACGATAAGTTCAACCTGAACTCATCATGCCATGATGATGACGAATTCTACTGAACATAGGATTTGTTGATGGCGCATATCTTGAATGAGAGATCAAATCAGATAAATATATACATATATATATATATATATGATTTTATATAATATTACTCTATTTGGGATACAATTCTGTCACAAAAAATATGTCCCACATGTGAGATAAGTCTTACATATGTAGGACTCACATCACATGTATGAGACCCATCTTTTGTGAGAATGTTGCATCTCGTTCTATATTTTTTGTTAATTAGTCCAGCTACATCCTTTAATTGAGGCCTTCGAATTCCACCCTAACGGCGTGGCTAAGATTCATATAAAATGGTCTCACACTTCCTTCTCCTATCTTTAACCTTTTCTAATTCTACATCATTGGAGTGAAATTAGAGGGGGACAAAATTAGGAGATTAATTATTTTTCTTTGTCATGGACTAACTTTTAATTTTTTTTAATTTGTCTATATATATATATATATTTGTGTCTAATTTTATAATTAATTTCTATATATAGTTCTATGAATAATTTTTGTACTCTATATTTATCTAAATGAGGAGGATTCCATCCCGTCCATGACCCTTGGAACCTATCATGGGCTCCGTTTTGATTATTTGAACCGTTTATTTTGTCAAGTACTTTGTGTATTTCATCCAAAAAAAAATTAAGTCGATTCAATAACTGTAATTTATTCAATTTATTACATTTGTCATTAAAAAAATATATGATTTATTTTAAAAAACACAATTGTTGTATATTTTTTTAGTGATAAATTAAATAAAGTTACAGTTCTCGGATCGACTTAATTTTTTTAGTGGACGAAATACACAAAGTGCTTTATAAAATGAACGGTTCAAATCATCAAAACAAGACCAATGATAAGCCCCATGGATCCAAACATCACCCTCCAATTTAAAATTTAGACCGGAGGAAATCCTTCTCCTTATTTAAAAATTACTCAATAATTTGAGATTGTGCCGTTTGATATAATTTTGATCATGTAATTTTTTTAAAAAAAAATGAAGTCTCGAATCTGTTTACTTTCTTGAAGTAGTAAGTCTCAACAAAGTGTCGTGATGATCAGAAACTAAGGGATATATTTGAATAAGTATATTTATTTAAGTCATATCATCTCTTTACATTCTTGTACATCTTTTTATAAAAAATTAAAAACTATACTTATTTAAATCATTTTAAATAACCCAAAAAAAATGATGGAGTGGGGACACTACATTAGGAGCCCAAGTCCAAGGGAAGGCAATAAATGCTTTATATGGGAAACACGGTGGGTATGATTATAAATTAAAGAAAAAATAATATAATTATATATTTTTTGATGTATAATTATAAAATAAAAATATTATAATTAAGGGTAAATTACACTGACACTCTTGAGCTTTATATTTATTACAGTTTCTCCTTTATCTTTTAAAAATTACATCTCTTTTCCCGAGGTTTAAAGTTTTATTACAGTTTTTTCCTTCAGCAATTTAATTTTTTTAAATATCAATTTTGCCCTCACTAGGTAAATTACATTGACACCCTCATATTTTAGAAATTGCAATCTCCTCCCTAAGTTTTAAAGTAGCATTATCAATTGCCCCCTCGGTTAGTATTAGTTGGGCAAAAAATTCATTGAAAAAAAAATTATTTGAAATTTTTTTTGTTAGTAAAATTTTTAAATCTCTGCTTAAAAACCAACGTAAACTCATTTTTTGAATTTACGTTTTTTTTCTCAAATTTACAAACTGAGACAATAATTTATAAACTAAAAAAATTATCAAACAAGTTTTTATGACAGTTTTTAAAATTTTTATAAATATAAATTGAAAACTAAAAACGAAATGGTTACCAAACAGGCCTCAAATGGTAAAAATGTCGTAAAATTAACAAATAATTAAATAAGTTACCAACGTAAGAAGTCACTTATCAAAATATTCTTAGGCTATGTATGGTTTGATTTTTAGAAAAAAAAATTAAAAATTAAAAATTAATTTGGTTAAGAAATAAAAAATAAAAAAATAATTATCTTTTAAGGGTAAAAAATAATTATCATTTTAACTTGGGAGCTTTTTTAGTAAATCCATTCTCTAAGAGTCCTATTCCATTAGACCAATAATGTTTTGTAATATTCCATCAGGTCCTATTTCATACTAAAAGACTGATAGACCCTCAAACAAACACACGCCTATCTTTGAATCAAATAGTCATCTCTCTCTTCCCCTCTCTTTTTGCAAAAAATCATGTACAATATCTCCACTATTCCAAAAATCCAAAACCGAATTCCATATCGTCTCAACGCCCAGAAGACTTTCCTTGATCGCATCATTGCATCGTCTTCTTCGTCATCCCTACACCTTCAGTCGCTGAAATCATGGAAACCACCATTGTTGAACATCTGTAAATTCTATCTTCGTCAAAATCACCATCGACAACCATTTGTGACAACGTAATCATCGAAAAGGGCAAAAAATGTAAGTAATCTAATCATTCTTGTATGCAAACCCTAAATCTCTTCTTCAACAAACAACATTATGAACTTTCACCAATATCCCCTGTTTTTATTCATACAATAGATGGAACTTCAAATTGTTATTGTTCATGCACTAATCGTTAATTTGAACCCTCAATCCCTATACCCAATTGTATGGGTTTTTTCACCCAAAAACATTACAGTTGCCATTATATTATGTTGAAATATGTGAACATTCAAATGGATTGAAAGATGTTGGACCAATCAAATTATTTCAGATGTTATTGTTATTGTTGTTGAAAGATGTGACTATTCACATGAAATTGAAAATTGTTGGGCAAGCAAATTGTTTTAGTTGTTATTGTTGAAAAATATGAACATTCACATGGATTGAAAGATATTGAGCCAATCAAATTATTTCAGATGTTATTATTGTTGTTGTTGAAATATGTAAACATTCACATGGAATTGAAAATTGTTGGACAAGCCAATTGTTTCCGTTGTTGTTGTTGAAAGATGTGAACATTCATATGGATTCAAAAATGTTGGGCCAATCAGATTATTTCAAATGTTATTGTTGTTGTTGTTGAAAGATGTAAATATTCACATGAAATTGAAAATTGTTGGACACACAAATTATTTCATTTGTTGTTGTTACTGTTGTTGAAAGATATGAATATTCACATGGATTAAAAAATGTTGGGCCAATCAAATTGTTTCAGATGTTATTGTTGTTGTTGTTGAAAGATGTACATTCACATGGATTGAAAATGTTTGGCCAATCAAATTGTTGTTGTCAACCGTAGTGAATATTCACATAAAAACAAAGAATCATGGTTTAATTTCCTTATATTAGATGTTGTTGTGATATATAATTATGTTGTGAACATTCACAACATGCGTAAATTAATTAGACACTTTGTGAACATTCACCACTATATTTAGAAGAAATATATCACTTTTGTTATCCTATGTTTGAAACCATATTTCAATTTTGAGGTTGTACTATAAAATTGGCATAACATGATTGTAGTAAGTCTGTGTATTGTTAGCCAAATTAATAATGTGAATGTTCACAACATCCTTTAATCTATTTGGGTTAACATCCACATATTCTTGAATGTTGTTCATCAATATATAAACACACATTGATTTTTACACACACACACACAATGCACATTGTGTTTTTGTTGACATAATGAACATCCACATCCATAGACAGATGTGGATATTCGCATCCATGCACACAACTGTAGACATTCACACCCACGCACACAACTGT